TATGTAAATATTTCCTCATCATTAAAAAGGTTTATTTTATACTTATACCTAAATGGGGGTTACTTTCAGCAATATCTCTTGAGGAAACAATTTTATATTCAAAAGATTAGCTTGATAATTGCAACTTCTTAGTCAATATCTATATTGTTATTATTGTAAAGATAATAACAAAAGCGTTGATATTATGGTAATTTCAGTCCCAGACTAACCCTATACAAGTACTTTATAGTTTACAAAGTATTTTCACATATGTCATTCCCTTCACTCTTCACTCCTTTTCAGTTCTTCATCTTTATGATTCTCATTTTACAGGTAAGTTTTCCACAACTAATTGAAGCCACAGTAAACAAGACTCTGATTTTTATTTAAGGATAGAGTTCTTTCACAGACAGCCTAATTCTCTTTTCTGTGATTTCAAAGCAGAATTAATTTCTTTTAGTAACATCTAACTACATGTCAATGTGTAATAAGTATCAAATATTAACAAGCTCTATTTTGATTCTTTTGCTAGGGGACCACTGGATAGTATAACATATCTGGACAAAATTAAAAAGTTGTTGTCATCCATAGAAAAAGAGAAAGGTTCTTTAAGCAAGCTGAAAATTGAATGGGAGAATTTATCAAACCATGCAACAGACCTGGATAAGCAGATGTTGGAAAGCCAGATTAAGCAACTTGAACGTAGTTGGGAACTGGTGGAACAACTGGTTCAAAAGAAGTATTCTCAGCAAGCAGTAGAATATGATGAATTTATGTCCCTCATGAATAAGATGCAAGACGTTGAGAGTTCACTGCAGCAACAGCAGCAATGTCTACAGTTAAGGCTGAACTCGCCAGAACCGAAGGGGAACCAAAGCATGATTGCCTTGGCCACTCAACTCGAGGCTACCAAGCATAGATTTTCTGTTTTAAAGGGGAAAGCTGAACTTCAGATGAAGAGGATTTGGGGAGAAACAGAAAAGAAGATTTTAGAGGATACAATAAATAATTTGAAGAAGCAATTAGAAGCATTGAATCCATTAAACCTAGAGGTAGAAAATCAGATTGAGAAGTGTGACATTAGGAACAAAGTAAAGGAAAGCATGTTATGGATCAAGAATCTGTTGAGTGAACTTGTTACCCCCATTTCCCTTCTCCCAGATGACATTCTTTCACAGATCAGAAAATGCAAGGTGACACATGATGTCATTCTGGAGAGGCAGCAGGCTGTGGAATTGTTGGTTGAAGAGGTCAAAGGTAACGTTCCTAGCCTAACAGCATATGAGGGCAATGATTTAAATAATCTGGTGGAAGACTTACAGAAGCAATACCAAATGCTGGTTTTAAAATCAACCCAAAGATCACAGCAATTAGAACTTAAATTGGAGGAAAGAAGCCAATTTTTTGCAATAATAACAAAGGTTCAACTTGCACTTGAAGGAAAGGAAACACCAATAATTCCCAAGGTGGAAACAGCCTCCACAGAAGCTGAACTAGAACATCACCATGTCGCTTTGAAGGCATCTCAGAAGGAATTGCAAGAAATTGAGAGTGTCATCTCAATGCATCTTCAGAAACTAAAAAACATCTATGAGGATCTGAGTGTGTTTGAAAGATTATTTCTGGATGATCAACTGAAAAATCTTAATACTAGAGCCAACAGAACACAAAGATTCCTTCAGAATAAATGTAAAGAAATAGAAAACAAGGTAAATTTTTATAGAGAATTCCATGAAAGAACATCTATGCTTCAGAAGGAG